GATCCCGCTTGGACATTTGGAACATATATTGGGCGATTTCCAATTTGGTAACCCGCTAAAATACAAAATTTAATTAGTACAACTTAATCAATATAATCAATTAAGATTAATTGTTACATGGGGGCTGAAGCACTGAATGTCTCCTTAAATGTAGTGGAGGTGGAGGTGAAGCTCCTTGAGGCATACAAATGTCCACTGATCCACTTGTCTGGGTTNTCCTTGAGGCATACAAATGTCCACTGATCCACTTGTCTGGGTTGAATGTCCTGAATCGCTCGATGTCACGGATCCCGCTAGGACAAACTTTAAATGAGTATACAATTTTTGCTGAAATTAATATTTCATAAGAAAAAAATTCTTACTAGATGTAATTGTTTTTCTAAGAGATAGATTAGATAAACTGGTAACACTGCTACTCTCAGCATTTAAATCAACTGATGATAAAAGTAAAGGTGGAGGTGGATTTAAAGGTGTGGTGTCAGAATGTGATCGTTCATGTGATGTAGCAGGAATGTTAGTAGGCTGGTGAACATTTCTACGTGTTGGAGGGCCTGGAGAAGGAGCCATATGATATCTGGGCTGATGTAATCTAGTTTTGCTAGGTTCACTTAAAGATAATAATTTTCTCACTGCTTGAGGTGATGCAGAGCCTAATTATAAAATTTTAAACATTATAATACTAGAAAATTTAAATGAAAAATGTATAAACAAACCAAATTTAGGACCACTATTTTTCAATCCTTCACTAGCACTGCTGGCACTACTAGCAGTTGAAAGTGTAGGAGAAGGATGTCGTTTACGAATAGGTCCAGTGCTCATAATAGATCCACTGGTGCTCGAGCCTTCACAACTCATTGACAGTTCGTGAAGTTTTTCTTCATCTGTTATTACCTTCATTTTGGCAAGATAAGCTTTAACTCTCCTTACCATTTGAGCCTAAATATAATTGAGTTATTTGATAAAAATAATTTTAAGTTTGACCACAAAAAATATTAAATATACAAAAAAAAAAAACACAAATAATAATGATAAAATTACATACTTCTTCAAACATTTTCTTTGGGTTTGGTGCTGCAGTTGACTTTTTTCTTCTTTTGACTGTAGCAGCTCCAGCTTGATGTGGCCCTCCACTTACACCTGTTGTAAGTTGGTTTAAAGCTACCATAGCATTAGATGTTGGTTGTCCACCAAGCTCCAACATCGTTAGTAAGTCATATGGAGATGAGCACATATTAGTAAGATTCCTAACTTCTTTGGCAATCATTCTTAGCTTTTCAAAATTAATTAAATCTTCTACATGAGTATCATTCCCCAAATGTATAAATGTTAAATCTTTCTTGACAACAGGATAAAATGGAATCTAAATTTAAAATAATAAGAAATTATATAAAATCTTAAACCAAATCATTTAATATTAAGCTATTACAATTGGAGGTTGAGATTGTTCGTTGCTGACTAATTGACGGTATTTGCTCATGTTTCGAGAAGGATCCATCAAATCTTGAAGATCCCCAAATAACCGTTGGTACTTAGTGGGTAGTTTTTCCCAAGATTGTCGTAGACGACTTACAGCACCATGGCCAAGACCCGAGATGATGGCAAACATAGAATTGAAATTTTTACATTCTTTACATTGACCTGTCAATTGAATAAATAAAAAAAGCTATTATGTATCCAGAGTGATTAATATCTTTAAAAATATAAAACAAATCATAATTTTTTTTAAAGAAGTTAATAGTATCTCATGTTCTAAAAAATTTCAAAAATTACTTGGCCCTATCTCCCTTCTCTCTCTCTATTTTAAAATAGTACCAAATTAATTTTTTTTTAAATGGAAACATATATGTAACCCAACTAAAAATAAGGAAATTATCCAACTAAAAAAATTATTGATTGATAACAATTTTTAAACCAGTATTTTAAAAGATATTAGTAATTCTATATTAGGGTGAGAAGGATAGTGTAGTTCATAAATGCCCAGAGATAAAAATAAACATACTCGCACTTCACCTCAAGTCATTATAATATTGTTAATAACTTTCAAAATACAAGTTCAAAAGTTGTTGGCAACTGGTCATTTTTTAATTAGAGCATTTTCTTATTTTTAAGCTATTTTACCAAAAGTTTACGATTAAAAATTCAAAAATTAATACTATTTTAAAGAAGAGAGAGAGGAGGAATGAAACCAAATTTGTTTAAATTATAAAACAAAGGATACCGTAAACTTCTGAAAAAGTATAGTTAATCAATTATATTCTATTATAGATAAAATGATTTCTTTTAACTTACGTGCTACTTTAATAAATTGTTTGATCATTTTTGACCGTCTAATAAGGTTATGTTCTGAACAAATTTCAGTCACTACCCAAAACATTTCTGTGTTAACCAACTAAAAAATAAAATTGTGATCATTTTTTTATTCATAATAAAGTACATTCACCATACCTCAGCAAACTTCGAAAGCATTGGCGTACCATATCGGCTGTCTAATTGGAATAAATCATCAACATATTCAGTAGCTTCAATTTGTCTAAATATTGAGAAATCTTGGAGTGTTAATTGAACTGCCACTTCCACAGCATTAAGTTGCAAAAAGTGAACATTACTTTCTCGTACTAAATCAGCAGCAAGTTCATCTCCAACAAGAGTCTCTGTATTACCAACATTTTTTAAATAATATCTACTACTTAACCCGATACGTTCTGAAAGGTTTTGTAATTGATCAGGCAACCTTCTTTGTTTGATTATACCCCCTTCAGATACAGACACTTCACAAAGAGAAAAGTTTGAGCTCGGTTCAGTGATACCAAATTCTTGTAATGCTAGCATGACCACCTCATGGGCTGTTGTCTCTTTATGCACTAGAAGATACTTGCAAGTCTGATCAGGTTTATAAACTTTGAGTACATGCTCAGGATAATCGGCGGCAGCCATTGCTCGTGGATCATCCAAATAAGACATAGACGTGAGATCTGGATGGCTATGAGACTGTTTAAAATTTGAGCTAGTATCAGATTTGCCAGACACCGAAACGGAGCTATCATCACACACGTCACCCCCGATGATATTTTTTGGGAGAATATTCATCTTCATTAGAGCTCGCTGCAAACGTTTTTTAGGACCTAGGGTCATAAAGCCTCCTCCACTAGACGAGTTTGCTGAAGTAGTATTAACAGTGGAAGTCTTAATTGGTTGTTGAATAGGAGGAGGTAGGTTGGCAGTGAGTAACGGCCGTGCTCGAGGATCATCTTGAAGCCGGGCAATTTCGACCGATTGTTTTTGACGATTTCTCGTTCTAGGAGAATTATCTGGTGTGGCCAGCATTTCTTTGAACACTATAAAAAATAATTAATATAAAATTAAAACTTCACAAAACTATGTCAAGAAAAAATAAATTTAAATGTGCTTACCCAAAAGATTTGATTTTACAGTAATGCTTAAGTGAGTGGTCCCTCGAAGAATTTCTAAAGCTCGTGTATGGGTTACATGTTCAAAGCTCTGTCCATTGACTTCCAAAATTTGATCACCGCGTTTAAGACCAACTTCTTCTGCTTTTGAACCCTTGTCCACCTGCAGACGAAATACTTTATTACTTCACTGTATTCGCATAATAAAGAATAAATAATTGATTACCTTGGATATAAATATGCCGAATCCTCTTTCGTATCCTCCTAATATGGAAAAGTGTAGCACCTGATCTCGACACGGTCTGGCCAATGTGACGCACCTGGCTCTTGCTTTTGCGGCGCATGCAATATTTAACAATCGCATTTGTCCACTCATTTTGTTCTCTTCCAGGCACGCTTCAAACTTTTCCACGAATTCCATCATAACAGGGTCCATTTCAAAATCCGTAAAGTGATTGTTGACCCATAAAAGAACTACCCTCGTGACCCGATCTCTGGCGGACGGTTCACTAAACCAATTCAACAGTTGGTTTGCTACTTCCATAGAATTTTTAATAAAAGTACGATGGGTCAAGAGGAAGTCTTCTACGTATGTGGGATCAATAACCGAGTTCTCCTCGATCAATTGAAGCATCAGTCTTTCTGGCGTTCCCTACAATAATAATGATTTTTATTCATAATCGATCGAGTGACGGAACCCTACAATCGCACCCCTAGGAGTTACAAATATTGTAAATACTCACTCTTATAACTACATGACCCCGTCTTCCGGCCTCCAGAGTGCCTCTTTGTTCGGTAACCATGACCAACTTGCCATCGTCGTCTTCGTGTTTCTTGGTGTTTTCCTCGCCCTGATGGAGTATCCTGTAATAGTCCGTCTGGGTGATGCACACGAACTGGCAGTCATCGCATTTGGTACGCATAACACCCCTGTGATACAGACGCTCCATTGTAGGTACGATACCGAAACTGTCGCCCATATGCAGCTGGTCGGGTACACCATCAACGTGCTCGACTTCGACGTGACCATTGATGAGTACGCTCCACGAATCCAGTTCCTCGCCGTCGTTCATCACTACCGTGCCGGCCTTTTCAACCACAGCGAACACCATAACGCTGCATAGGGCCCTCCGTACGGCCAACGTCATGTTGGTAAACGCCTTCAAGTGCTGCGTGAACTCGAGCAGCACCTCGACGTCGTCTTCTGACCTTTCAGACGGGTCTTTCTCGAGACACTCGCGTACCGTGTCGCGCACCGTCAGGCTCTCGCTACTATCGCCCAAGTCATCTTCGTCCGAGTCTACAATGGACTCCACCAGTCCCGACAAATCCACTTCATCGGCCTCCACCGACACACTGCCCGAGTGTACGCTGGTCATGGTGTCGCTGCCCGAATACGCGGAACTCGTGTCCGAACTGTGCGAGCTTCGGTTGCTCTTCTGATACAATTCAGGTCGAATCGCAGCACAGTACTACAAAGCAAAAATAGTGTTGGTTACACATTGAAAGTACAGTAAAACCTAAGTCTATGAACTTCTGAGAGACACGTGCGTGCGGTTCATTAATTATGTACACTAAAACCGTTAAATCGTTTATCAATCACCACAACAGTTCCAATTTCAAAATAAACATTAAGAATTTACATCAGAATTCAAAAGGAATCCGTAATGGATTCAATCAGGCGTAATGCCTGATTGAAAAAACAAGCGGATTATTCTTTTTCCCATCCGAAACTCGTGAACTTTTGTGTCGATACGTCCGTTTAATCAAGCGAACCGCACACACAAATTCATACACTATGCATTATAATGAAGATGGATTTAACACTTACGCTGTCGTCGAATACAAGATTGATAGCTCCGCCACGTTCCATACCGGTGTACCGAGGGACGGAAGCACTCACTGAGCGTAAACCGCTTTGGGAGTCTGCATAATCCATCTAAAACACAATATAATTAGTCATGGGTTTTGACTGCTCAATTTCGAAGACTAAACAAAAAGGTACGAAAATACAACGCAAAATGTGACCCGGAAGCACTACGACAACGTCGACGGGATAAATGCCGACCATCGATGATGCATTTCACTTGCACGATTCCGACCAAAGTTTACACATCAGACTCGTGTGTTAATAAAACTGCGCTGGCAAAACAACGACATTTAATTTCTGTTTCTGGAAAACGACAGGCACGCAAATGATGGACAAGGACAAACTGCAGCGTTCCATACAGACACACACATTCAATACACGTTGCGGCGGCATTGTATTTGTTGTGCACTTCGTGTCAACTCATGAAGAGCACAACAAATGCGCATACGCCCTGTACAGCGCATATTATACATATATTATAATGGTCGACATCCGGTCACACGATCGAAACGAATTGCAACTTAATTGTATTTCTGACAAAATGCGATTCAATCGAATTTGGAAACCCAATTTTTATGAAAGTTTCCATCGGCACAACAACCGTAGCCTAAACATTCAAGCGTAAAGCGCGCTGAATGCGAGGCGTTGCCTATAGAGAGCAGAACTCGAACATTATTATCCTCAAACGCTACAATAGAATATCTATGTACTTAGTGTAACGACCTATATACATAACATTTAATCTATTATAATGAAACAGCCGCGTCGCTTCCAAGTACGAACTAGGGCGCTCAAAAACCCCGTGAATAAATAACCAGAAAGGTTTTGTTGTCGGTGATTCTAAAACTTTATTGTATTCCGTCCAAAACTAAATCCGTACTCGCCGCCAACGGAAGGCCTTCCGCGAGTACTCCATCTCATGAGGGTGTTGTACTTATCGGTGAGCACATCACTACCGTATAAAGTCCATTAAACGTGTGACTTAGTGGTGCTGTAGGAGTTGTTTTGTCGACAGTTGATACCGGACAATAATTAATTAAAATAGGATATTGTGCGAGGTAATTCGTCGTCAACAGCGCTGTAGTCAATTGGAACGCTAAAAAAGGTAATTAGCTACGGGTATAGTAGACGGCTGAATATTGTGCAGCATTCTGTTCGTCCTTTCGCAAACGGTTAAGAATACGGTTCGCGCAAACACATGCAACCAAATTACTACAGAATGTTTCGACGATCGCAATCTTAAAAAAGTTGAACGTCTAAAGAGTGTTTGATGTGAATTTCTCAACAGACTTCGCTCGGTTGACAATCACCACAATTGGAGGAAAACTAATGAAATTGCCAACATATAGTACAGACACGACTAACCGCCTAATGTCAATCATTCGCTACATTAAACATACATGATAAAATACCGAATGGGGATGTACGTATCATACGTTGAAATGCTCTAGATTTTTAATTATTTTCACTATTTTTAGAACTCTCTAAATAATATTGTCCGATAATATCACTGAATTAGCGTTTAAATCTTTGATGCTGAACGGAATCGCAAATTTTTTCCCGTGTCAGCCAACAGACGGAGGCCACGTTTTTTTTATGGCGTTGTGACAGCAGAACACAATTACAACGACGGTACAACTAAATTTTACAGCCATTAATTTGAATACAAAACGTTCTATTTAAAAAAAAACTAGCGCTATTTGTGAGGCCTTATAAATTCATACGTAAAATTTTAGTCCAATGTGAAATGCCACGACTTTGAGTGAATTTTGTTACTTATATTAGCGCTCCTGTTTAATGTGGCATGTCAAAGGTCGGTGAGCTTTTACTTAATGTAGATGTAATCGCCAAAGGGATACACTTTTACTTACACTTGTGGTGTCTAAAACTGAATACCAAAAACGCCCACCGGTGTTATTTGTTACTTTGCTATTTCTCTTGCTTTAAAACGAGTCTTTAAGTAATAATAATACTTGCTTATTTCCTACGAGTTAATCTTACTCGGATCAATATTTAATCAACAGAAAATGGATAGAACTCCTTCGGCAGTAGAGTAAAAAGTGCTCGATTTTTTTTTTTTTTTTTTTTTTGCAGTGTTTACATGCTTAATGTTTTAAACTGTCTAGAAAGAAATCAATTAGGAGCAGTAAGTGCACACTTTAATGGAGTGCTCATAAAAGCTACGATAAAAACAACACAACGCTATGACGAACGCGGCATATAATATACTGGTAAAATTATTTGAAAATTTGTCGAGCAAAAATAATTAGACGTCTCAATCAAACGTAAAAGTTCATCCGACTCGAGAGTTTCTTCATTAGAAATTCCTGCACAATTAAAAAGTTTTACTATTAATTTTATTCTGCACCGTGCGTGATGAACCGCCATCAAACTAACGAATAAATGAAATAAAATCTTATTAATTTTGCTTTACTTCAAATTGAAATATTTACACAATGCGTGTATACACCATACACCACAATGTCTCGTTAAGCAATAACAATGAACGACCAGACCATGGAATTCAGCCCACATTTCCACACACGCATCCAGTGTACTGTACATTACATATTGTATTCGAACGTTGCCTGTTATTTCGCGTTCCTGTGATGTATGATAAATAAAATACAATAATAGTTCAATTGCACTGTAGTGTGGGTTTATCTGAGTTCACAACCGAGTGCCTAAATTATTTATCAATACTGTGGTTTGTACGCGAGGCGCGGCTGTAAGGGTATAAATCCGAGTCGTCTAATTATTTTAATTACGATATTGAATTCACTGAACGCAGAAATAATTTAATATATCAATAAGAAGTGTAATTTTAACCGTCCGGTCCGGTTTCCACGACCGCATTATAATAATTTTATTGTTCTTTGTTATTTAGAATACATTTTTTTTACGTGTAAACCTAAATAATTGATTATTAGAATATGCAGCGGCCGGAAAAATGTACATTTTTCGTCTTAATAAAAAACCAATACGATTATGCATTGAGTTTTAATAATAAAAACACATTTAAAAACTATCTCGCAGCGGTTATAAAATTTGTAAAATACCTTGACTTTGATAGATTCAATCTATTTTCTAGTCCGAAACTTGAATTTAAATATTCAATGGAACGTATGTTTTTTTCGATTTTATAATCATGTACATAAAAATAGGGTTAGCATATAAAAATGGTCGTTAAAAACTTTCAGTGAGCTTGTAGTATTATTTAATGCACTCTTTCGGTTTAAAATTTGATTTATAGAGTACTTTAAATAATGTGTACGGCGGTGAAAAGGGATAAAATTTAATACAATAGCGAATGAAATATGTTGTTTTTTTCTTTGTACCGAATACCAATTATTCGTTCGATGGATTTCGATCATTGATTCATTGGACGTTTAATGAATGTTTACCGAACCGACCGGCGAGTCTTAATGGCCTTAAATGGGATGAAAAAAAGTTCAAAAAAAAAACAATTACTGTTGGGCGCTTGGCAGTGAAAGCAATCATCTCTCCTGTTGCGTCAGGACCCTTAAACTGCTTCTACATAATCAACACTACTGGCGGTCGGGTTCATAATATTGTTATTATTACTTATTTAATATCATAATGTTAAAAACAAAATAAAATACAACACGGGTGACTGAACTGAAGTAAGGGATCAAGCGGATGCAAGATAAATGACCACGGTAAGAGCAATCGTGTATATAACAAGAAAAAAACATTGACGCACAGAAACCACGAGGAAATGATATTGGAGGGAGGGGGCAANTCCGTCTGGGTGATGCACACGAACTGGCAGTCATCGCATTTGGTACGCATAACACCCCTGTGATACAGACGCTCCATTGTAGGTACGATACCGAAACTGTCGCCCATATGCAGCTGGTCGGGTACACCATCAACGTGCTCGACTTCGACGTGACCATTGATGAGTACGCTCCACGAATCCAGTTCCTCGCCGTCGTTCATCACTACCGTGCCGGCCTTTTCANTTGGATCAATATTGTGCTTAACCTTCTCTCTTGTATTTATATATATATATATATTTAATAAATATCGGAGGAGGGGGTGTAGACCACTTAGAGACAATAAAGTGACGTAAGGAGGAAATAATTTTTTTTTTCTGTCACTGATTCAAAGGCGATTGACTATCGAAAATAAAGAAAACGCGCTCGGAAGAAAATCGCCGACATCAAGAAAACTTTTTTTTTTTACCCGTTTTAGTTCTGAAATCGAAAACGTACCNGCTACTATCGCCCAAGTCATCTTCGTCCGAGTCTACAATGGACTCCACCAGTCCCGACAAATCCACTTCATCGGCCTCCACCGACACACTGCCCGAGTGTACGCTGGTCATGGTGTCGCTGCCCGAATACGCGGAACTCGTGTCCGAACTGTGCGAGCTTCGGTTGCTCTTCTGATACAATTCAGGTCGAATCGCAGCACAGTACTACAAAGCAAAAATAGTGTTGGTTACACATTGAAAGTACAGTAAAACCTAAGTCTATGAACTTCTGAGAGACACGTGCGTGCGGTTCATTAATTATGTACACTAAAACCGTTAAATCGTTTATCAATCACCACAACAGTTCCAATTTCAAAATAAAC